TTGCCTCTACACTAGCACAGTGCTAAAGAATACTATTAGACTTATAGAGGTTTACACTATGGAAACAGGCCCCTTGGCCCAACTTGCCCAGGCCAACCAGTTTTCACAATTAAACTCGTCCCGTTTGCCTGCGATTGGCCCATATCTCTCCGTACTTATCCCATCCATGTACCTGTCCAAACATTTCTTAAATGATGAAATTGTACTCAACTCCATCACTACCTATGGCAACCTGTTCCAGAACATTCACCACCCTGTGTGAAAAAAATTGCCCCTCCGGACCCTTTTGTATCTCTCCCCCCAAACTTGTGCCCTCTATTATGAGCAGCTTCACATTAAGAGTATCTTGACACAACTGTTGAGTTTCTTTTTAAATTTATTTAGATATACCTTCTAATGACATAATCATCTGAATATTTGGAGGATACCATTAATGAATAAGCTATTGGAAACACACATTGTCACTATAGGTATGTATTCTGGAAGATAAAGTTTGCATATAGATAGTGGTTCTTAAAACACACAAAGACCAACTCTGAAAATCAAATGCCTCAACAAAAACACTTATGCTGGCTGAACTGATTTACCACAAACAAACTTGAGAACAACAAAACTGGGTAGTGGGCAATTTGTTATGTAGCATGCTGTCACATGAATTGTGGCTGAACTAATTGAGTACTATAAATAGCAGCTATTGGCCTAAATGTAATTAACTTCTCATGATTCCATCCTTCAATTAATTCTGTCCTTTAATAAAACTAACAATTAAGAAAACTGCTCACTATATAAAGTTCTGTTGTAGTTTGTGAAAGACAGCTAATCAATTGATAGCTTATATTGCAATGTTACAATTGCACTTGCTAAGCTAAAAGTTGTAAAACCAATTACCTGTAACTGTACATTGGCAAACAGTTAGCCTTTAGGCAAGTCTGAATCTTCCATTTAAATCTGTCAGTGTTTAAAATCACAGCGTTTCCCTTTTGGAATGCTTGTAAATCTTCTCATCCCAATGTTCTATCTTCTGGTTTACAGAATTTAATCCATTCCATAAAAGAAGATCAGAAATATATTTCTGTGTGAATTGTTCCACAGTCCTAAATATTATTTCCAACTTCCAATAAGTCCTTCAGCTCAAACTCCAATACAGGGATAGATTAACTGTAGATTAACTTTTGTTTATGTGTTCATAGGATGTGGGCATCATTTATTAGGCCATTTTTCAGCATTGTCCATCCTGACTGCCCTGGACCAACCTCTTTGAACTGCAACAATCCATGAGGTGAAAGATGTAGGTACACCCACACTGCTGTTAGGGAGGAAATTCCAGGACTTTGACCCAACAACTCTGAAGGAATGAAGATGGAATTCCAAGTCATGATTGTGTGTGACTTGGAGGGGAATCTTGCAGGTGGTGATGCTCTTATGTATCTGCTGCCTTTGTCCTCCTGGTGGAAGAGATTGCACTTTGGAAGGTGCTGTTTAAGGACCCTTTATGAGTTTCTGCAGCTCATCCTGTAGCTGGTAGAGTGCTGTGTGTTGGTGGCGGAGGGACTGAATGTTGAAGGTGTTAGATGGAATGTTAATCAAGTGGCAAGCTCGCATCTCCCACATTGCTACCACAGCAATTGGGTTGAGCAATTGTTACAAATCTGACCAGATCACTCATGACTTCCAGGCCCACCAGTGTGTGCCACAATGATAAGATTAAATCCAGCTTGTTAATTCTGTTCTTTTGTTTACAGATGCTACTAGGCCTGCTCAGTATTTCAACCATTTTCTGTTTTTATTTACACTACATCCTCTCGTTGGCTCTCCATAGACATTGACCAATCTGCTGATAATTTTGAACACTTCCATTTTATTTCAAATTGCCACCATCCAAGGCATTTTGCTTTTGTACTGATATTAAATAAGTATATTAAAGTTGGTAGATCAAACTGCAGAAAATGCAAATGCAACAAAATGTTAAAATGCTGCGTTCTTCTAATCTCCAGCAATATGAGGAGAAAATTTCAAAATTCTCAGCCCAAACAATTAAACTGTGGGATTGTGAATTTTGATTACCTACAACAATTAGATTCTGTGGCCTTAAAGTGGTCAACCACCTTGAAAACAGTCTACTTCAGTGGAATAATGAACAAAAATATTATATAAAGCATAATTTTCTAATCAGTTTTACTGCATGAAAGGTCACAGGAACACACTGGCTCAATTGAACACTGGAAATGCATTGATATAAGGATGAGCCAAAGTATTTTGTTTTGCTCATTCAAAGGATGTGGGCATTGCTGGCCAGATCATCATATAATACCCATCCCTAGATGCCATTAAGAAGGTGGTGGTGAGCTGCCTTCTTGAACTGCTGCAGTTTCTTTGGTGCAGGGAAACCCACTGTTCTGTTATGGAGGAAATTCCAGGATTTTGACCCAGGGACATCGAAGGAACAATGATTTATTTCCAAGTCAGTTTAGTGATTGTCTTGGAGGGAAACGTGCAGATGGTGGTGTTCCCATATACTTGCTTCCCGTGTTTTTCTAGATGGAAATGGTTGTGTGTTTGGAAGGTGCTGCCTTAGGGGCCTTGATGAATTTCCACAATGCATTTAATAGGTTGCACACACTGCAGCTATTGTTGGTCAGCAGTGGAGGGAATGAATGTTTGTGATGCCAATTAAGCAGGCTACTTTTTCCCACCTCTTCCTCCGTTACATTGATGACTGTATCGGTGCCGCCTCGTGCTCCCACGAGGAGCTCGAACAGTTCATACACTTCACTAACACCTTCCACCCCAACCTTAAATTTACCTGGACCATCTCTAACACCTCTCTCCCCTTCCTGGACCTCTCTGTCTCCATATCGGGCAACCACCTCGAAACCGATATTCATTTCAAGCCCACCGACTCCCACAGCTACCTAGAATACTCCTCCTCCCACCCACCTTCCTGCAAAAATGCTATCCCCTATTCCCAATTCCTTCGCCTCCGCCGCATCTGCTCCCAGGATGAGGCATTCCACTCCCGTACATCTCAGTTGTCCTCGTTTTTCAAGGACCGTAACTTCCCCTCCTCGGTGGTCGAGAACGCCCTCAACCGTGTCTCCCACATCTCCCGCACCTCATCCCTCACACCCCGTCCACGCAATAAAAACCAAAAAAGAATCCCCCTCGTCCTCACGTACCACCCCACCAACCTCCGGATCCAACGCATCATCCTCCGACACTTCCGCCATCTGCAATCCGACCCCACCACCAAAGACATCTTTCCCTCCCCACC